CAGTGTCTCACTAATGTTACATTAAAAAAGCTTTTCCTTCTTGATGCAATCTCAGTCCATTACACCTTACTCTACCCACCACGATAGACTATTGCCTTTCTCTCTGCAATGGCCTTTCAAGTGCTTGTCTTCCTTCTGCCTTCTTCTCTTCAGCCTGAAGACCACCCACTCTCATTTCCAGTCCTCATTCTTGTTGCCATCAGCACTGTCCCCCGTTGGCTCACATACTTCTCGACCTGCACAGAACTGGCTCTTCAGCTGATGTCCTACCAAGGTTGTACAGAGCCAACAGATCGCTTCCTGTACGAACATCCTGCTGGGATGTTTACTGTTCCTGCAACTGCATCATGTTGCTGACTCGTGACTTGTGCTGGCTTGTGACTTGCTGGAGATTCCAGATTCTTCTCTGAAAGATTTTTTCTCACTAGTTGTTCCTCTTCTTGTCCATACAAGCAGTTTTTGGCTTTTTTTTTACCTGCTTAAATTTAGCAGTTTGGTTTTCATCTCTCACTTCATGTTTTCTAGACTAATTTTGCAATTTTTCAAGATCCTAGTCCGCTCCTCCAACATGCTTTCAATTCCTCCCAGAACTGAATAGAAGTAGCTTGAATTCCTAGAGGATCCTATTTGGTACATCAGTTTTGACATGAGTCCTTTGCATCTCCTCTGCAAGCACGGATGTCTACCTGTCTGGGAACCAACTCCATAGTAGCTCTATCCAGATCATGTTCCTGTAGCTTTCTGTGAGAATAACAAAATAAAATATCATAAATGTAACATTACATTTTTGTATGACTAATTGTTGCTGTGGTAACATAAATTGACAACATGTACATTGTCATAGCAGCCTTGTAGATATAAGGTATATAGGCTTTTCTGCATAAGTAATGGCAGAAGCAGCACAAGATTTTGAGAAATGGAAAGGTAAGAAGAAATGTGGAGCTTGAAGAAATGTGGAGCTGMGAATGAAAAATAATGCCTGTTGGAGGTTGAAGAAAGAGTTAGTTTAGCTAAATTTTTGTAGGATGTCAGTCTTGAATCAGGGAGTATAACTGTGTTTTGAGTGGGAAAAAAAAATCAAAAAAGGAATAGGATGAGGGTCCACTTGCAAAAATTACTTGTAAGTGCAAAAGTTACTTGAGGCAGAAGGCCAGCAGAAGTACACTTAATGTTCAGGGCCTTAATGTAAAGCAGGAGTTATTTAGGAAGATAAAAGCAACAGACATTTACCAGCATGACATTTTGCTGAAATTATACACCATGGCATATGTGATAGCCTGAAGTGTAGAGCGGACCAAGAGAATTTCAAGCAGGTTACTTGGCCAAACAGGCCGCCTTCTTGGACAACTGCAATAATAAACAAGTCAGAGAAACCACAGAAAGGATAACTGGGAACATACAGAAATTATGAAAACACCAATGCATTTAAAAACAAACAAAAACATAATGTAAAGTTGCTAAAGCAAGTCTTACTTAACAGAAATCTAATTCCAGTAAAGAAGTCACAGAAGGGAAAGCGGAGCTAAAATGTGCAAGAGGATGGTTTTAGGAAAAAAATGTGTTGTTTGTGAACATGYTATTCTCCATTGTCATGTTGTAGTGGTACAAACACAGATGCTGCAAGAAAGCAGACTGCAGATTTCAGAAAGAGGCAGCTGATSCTATTTGCCCTGTTCTCATTTGTGAGTGCTCATAGTGCTCASAGGCTCTTTATTTTTTTTATTAATAACAAATTCTCCCTCTATTTGCTGACCAGGAAAACATTGTGCAATGCGTGGAAGTCCCAAGAAAGCTGCTGAAACCCTGGGTTTCAGCAAAATCTGAGGAGTGATGTGAGAAACACTGTGAGCACTCAATGGGGAACAAAATTCAGAGGGAAAATGAGGTGTAGGAAGTTTCGTGTCAGGGGTGATGAATTCCCTGCCCTGCTTGTCCTAGTGAAACAGTGTTTTAACTCCTGCAAAGGTCCCTTCCAGGTACTAGCTCCATTTGGGGGTTTTGCGATGGGTAATGGGACAGAAAATCAAAGACTGAGGCTCCTCCCAACTTATATCTTAATTGGGAAGCAACTTGTTTCTGAAGCCAATGGAGAGGAAACGGGCATTCGTGCCTTGTCAGTCCCGTGACATCAAACATCTTACTTCATTTTGAGTAATCTGAGCAGTTACTCAATTAACTCATGCTTAGAATCAGTGGTTTTTAAGTGCAAATGTACTGCAGGTTTACAGAATGCAGCCTCTGAGTCTCTCCTAAAACAGAAGTTAAGACCAAAAAGATCCTTCAGACAAATTTCATTGGAACTATAGCTTACTAAGAAAATAAAAAAGTTAATGTGAAACWCTTGTGTCTTTAAGTAGTTTGAGCTCAATTCCGTTCTGTATTACTCTGTTCTCTTCCTCTGATAATTGACAATCATTTTCTCCAGTACTGAGGTGCTTTTAACTGACTCAYGCACTCCTCAGTCAAAGGCAGAGACTTCATAATAAGCACTAAAGCAGCACTGCAAGTGCCTGTTTAATTCTTTAATTCTGCATTCACTGATTTCCTCCTTTAAATTAATATCCACTGTTGCATTTGGACACTGYTCCCGCTCTCACATTTCTGAACCAGCATCAGCACGTCCATGACTAAGGAAAGAACCTTTTTTGTTGTTGTTCTCACTAGCAATGTCTCAAATTCCTTCTGCACAGCTAACTGCAGGGCACCAGAAGAGAAAGCAGCTCCCACAGCCTGAGCTGAACCCTCCAAGCTCACGCCAAAGGCAACAGGGGATGAGGCACGAGGGAATTTGGACAAAGTTTGGGTGGAGCGAGTTGGACGCGCTGAGCGGTGCCATGGAGGGGCCAGCACCCAGCGTGTCGCCTTGGAACCTGTTGGAATATCTGTGGTTGAAGCCTGTTGGAATATCTRTGGGAAAGGGAGGGAGGCAACGGGGCTGGTGAAAGGGGTGGCGAGGCGGGAGGCAGCACCCKGGTGGGAGGCCAAGCTGGGACCTCGGGGACCTGCCCTGCGGCCTCTCCTCCCATCGTGGCTGCTTTGGGTGCAAAGACGGGGCCAGGGGCACGGGATACTCARAGGGTCTTTGGGCACGCCGAGGTTTTGCGCGGGCGTTCAGCAGCCTGCAGCGGGCTAAGCCCGTGGGCCGCTCGGGGGCCATGGCTGCAGCCGCCCGCCCGCGTCCTGCGGGGCCGGGGACGCGCCGCGCGCCCCGTGATGGCCGCGCCGTCCCGCGCGGGGACCCGCGACATGGCGGCCGCCGCCGCGGGGTGGAGGAGGAGGAGGAGGAGGAGGCCGCGCTCGCTCCCGCCGCCGCCTCCGGGCGAGCGGCAGGTGCCGCCCGCGGGCCCGGCCCCCCCGGGCGGCGAAGGGGACGCGGCGGCGGCGCGGAGCCGAGGCGGGGGGACCCGCGCGGCTGCAAGTGGGTGGTGGCGCCGGGCGCGCAGGGAAGGAAGGAGGGAGGCAGGAGGAGGAGGCCGGGCGCGGGGCGGCCATGGCGGCGGGGGGAGTGTCCGCGCTGCCCCGCCGCCCACGGCGCGGGCCGGCGCGTGGGTAAACACGGCGGGGCCGCCCGGCCTCCCGAGCTCGCCCGGGCAGCGGCGCG